ATTTAATGAGGTAAATCAGAAATGAATACATGATTAATTTAACGTTGTCTTTATAGACCAAACATGATTTTCTGTCAGTACAGTTATCTTCATCCAGCACTACCTGCTAGTTCTTGGAAACACACACACACACACACACCTTCGCCTCCAGCTGGTTACAAAGGAGATAAACCACTTCAAACACCTAGCTTGTCCCCTCAGTACACAGTTACAGCCACAATTGAGGATTGCAAATCATCTTTTTATTAAACAAGCCCCATTTAGTTGCACATGTTTATCAGAAAAAAAAGGAACTGGTGACACATCTACACCGAAATGGGCTGCTAAGGGTATACTGGGGGAAAGGGAAGAAGCTGAAGGTCACCTCTAGCAATATTTTCAGTAATCCTAACTTTGTTCCTAAAATATTAAGTACACTTCAACATTGCAATTACTGCCTTATCTTGACAGGCTTGCCCAGAACGATCAAACAACCAAATTTCACTGGATGGATCTACACATTCAATGCTTTTAACCCCCCAAAAAACTTGAATGTACACTCCAAGCAGGAAGCTCGGGTCAAATCTTTCTGTTCGTTTTCTCTTGCAAGTCCCCCGAGCCAGTGCAAAAACAGGTGAGATCCTTGTACCTTTCACGTTATCAGAATTGGCATAAGACTTACCCAGATTGGCCCCAAGTAACACTGCCTGATCCGCTTTGACATTAAAATGACGAACATTGATATCTCTAACTTACTTTTAGGTATGTTTACAAACATTTAGTGGTATACTATGAAGAAAACTAAGCATAGTAAGAGTTTAGTTCTAGTGTACTCTGTATAAGTACATCAGGGACTTATTTAATTGCTTTTGTAGCCAATTTCCTTGCACCTCAAGGCTCATTAGTCAGTCATCTAATCATCCCATACAACAATGCATCCTCTGTTTCCTTCTTGAGTTGAAGAATATATCTTCATCTACCTATCCAGCAGTGGTGTCCTTCAGCTGCAACCTTTCTGAGGGTTATTTGACTGGTTTGTCAATGTTACTGCTGTTTCTCATGGCTGTGGATTTTCCTCAACAGTTCAGTTCTGTTCTACCATATTGCCCAGATGCCTAAATATAACCTTATAAGATGACTGTCGTTTATTAACTTAAAAAAAAAACAGTAACAATAAAAATCAGTATATCTGTGCAAGTAATGGGTTTGTTTCATGTGTCTGCCTTACTATTTTACTCAGAGTCCGAGAAGAAACAATGGCATAACAAATACAGAATCACATTTGCAGTTAGGACAGGGCTGAAAGAAGCATTACTGGAAGAAGAGATGAAAAATCCAGGTGTTAAATTCTGAACTACTCAGAGTACCAATAGGTTTTAGAGAAACGGAACTGCATATAAAGCTGCACCTGAACTTCAAAGTAAGAAGGTTCCAGCACAGGGCACTTCCCTCTGCCCGTCAGGCAGCACTGCTGTGCTAGAGCCTTTGACAGGCTGCCCAGAGACTGTGGGGTCTCCTCCTTGGAGCTCTCCCAGAGCCATTTGTCTGTGGGGCTGGGCCCTGCTCTGCAGAGCTCTGCTGAGGCAGTGGGATCCTGAGCTGCCTCCAATCTCAGCCCTTCTGTGACTCAGTGTATACAAACACACACAGGTACGCTTAAAACACACATTCTCAGAAGGAAAATATTAATCTGGCCCCCAAAATAAATACTTCACATTTCCAAACAGGCAACTCAGCAAGTGAATTCTGGTTTCCAAGCACAGTTCATTTAACAAGCCAACAGAAAAATCTTCATAACCCAGTTACTAAAGAGACTGCTAGCATGTCACTAGAGTTATATAGGAATAAATAAATGGTTTTCTATTTCTTTTATGCTTAAAGCATCAACACATTTCGGTGGGATTACTGATACTGTTTCCACAGAGACAGCAGTCCAGATGACAACACCTATCAAGAACTTACATTTCTTTTTAGCGTGGGTGGAGAGAAACTATCTTCTCCTCTACAGAATGCTAATGGATCTGGGTGTTGCAAAGCACCCTGCTGTTAGCTCCTGGGAGCGAGAAATCACCCATGTCATGCAGTGCATCCACAGCTCTGCACCTCCTCCAGCTGCTCCAGTCTGCTCTTCACTGCTGCAAAAGCACAGAGCAACAACACAGAACTCATTTAGGAGCTAAGTGTAAGAACAGGAGCACTGCAGGTTATCTACATGCAGAGCTTCAGAGATTGATTATTTCCAATAAAAGCAGCGCAGAATTCTCCTCACGATGGAAAAGCAATGGTTTGAATTGTTTTGAAGTAATTGTAACATAAAATGAAAAGCTTCTTGATGCGTTGTATTACATAATTAAAGGCGACGAGGTTCTGTCAAGTTCTATTTTTAAACCGTGATGGTTTGCTAATGAAACTTCCCAAGGAAAGTTCAGGTACAGACAGCTGAAACAAATTGCTGCTAACCCGATCACTTCCCCGTGCTTAAAGTCGCCATAAAAGCGCTACTAAATCAGTGTAAATACCATAGGGCAGGAAACCAATGACCCAAACTTGGAGTTACATTCAGTTTGTAAGAATGTCAATTACACAGCATAGGATGAACCTCACTATTTTACAAGCCAAAAAGCCAGAAGCCAAAGAGTATTACCAAATCTTAAATTATTTCCTTCTCGATATATAAAGCACATATTGAAATATGAGGAGAAAAAAGTATTGTTTTTAGCTGCTCCTTAAAGCATTTGTCTACTTTTTGGTCCAATACCGCAAAGAACATATCAAACATTGTTTCAGATCCTAGGGGTTACTGCTGGAAAAGAAAAAAATAGCTATTTTGAATATCCAGCCCACCTCATGGGGAGCTCACTCTACCCTCTGCAGCTCACTAAATGCAAATGCGGCCATTCTGGGCACCACGTGTGCAACATGCAAACCAGACTATCACTGGCTGCCAGACCCTGAGGACGCTCTGGCTCATTCCCAATTCAGCAACCTACCTGCTCAGCAATGCAAAAAACTGCTCTTTACTAATACACAGCTCAGTTCTAGGTCAGTTTGCTGACTTTCAAAGCTTTGCATAGCAGATCTCCTTTCACCCCCCCACCATGCCTTAGCCCACGTTCCGCTGCAGGCTCCACTGCTGGCTCACCCATGTCCCAGGGAAGCAGATGCAAAATTGAACCTTCACAGAACTGGCTGCCAGAAAAAAAAAAAACAACAGGCAACCAATACCCTGCTACAGCAAGATGCAGAGCTACAGCTTGGTGCAGACTCGCCTGATAATCCCACGAAAGCTGGTAAATATCAACTACAGATCAAGTGAAAGAAGATGATCATCTTTCTGCTTTTGTACACAGGGAGAGAATGCAGTCACACTGCAGTAACGAAGGCCATAAAACTGCACTGATAACTTGTTTTAATTAAGCAAGCTCCTATCAGTTTTAATAGTCTCCTTATACATGCCAGACCAAATAACAAATTTCTTAGGATTTCTGGGGCAGTCACAGTCCTAATGAGACAAATCCTAAATGAAAGAGCCATATTATCTTCTTCCTAGCCTCTATCAAATATAATCAGTGATATTAGCATAGTATTGAAAAGCTTTTCATCTCTCATCTTTATTTCACTGCTGTTAAGAGTAAACCATTTTACTACTAGCTAAAAACACCTCTCCTGTACTCTTGATACATATAAGCCATGCAAACACAAAACCATTTGGACTCCAGAATGGAGTTTCATCACGTTTGGACAGCCGAGTTGCCCTGCAGCCTTGGTGCGCATCCTTTAGTTATTGAAGCAACCAAGCTGCAAGCTGCTGAACCAGAGGTAAGCAGACGTCTGATCGGGGTACCACCGTGTGATGCCTTCAAGGAGTTGAACTGAAGGCAATAGGCTTGTCTCTGCTTACCTGACACAAACACACACCAGTCCTACAGCCCCAGCTCCTGACCATTAGTTTCCAACTTGCTGGGCAGGATCGCCATCCATGAAGCATCATTACATCAAGAATCCGTGTGCCCATCTTGAACCTGTTTCTCTCTCAAAAGGATCCCCTCCATGGGCACACGCTTCTTGTGCATGTCTTACAAGCAATATTCTCCTCATTCAGAAAAAAAAAAAAAAAAAAAAAAA